GTAGATGGTAATCTTTTGAGCTCTCCAAGTGAAATTCATTTTTTGCAAGTGTGCCGTTGCTGAATGGGCAGAAATTGAAAGTTCGAGATTTTTTTGCTTTTGGTGATTAATAAAGGTGCTGGCAACACTCTAAAGGATAAATGCATTTTCCAGGATGGATGTACCTAGTTTAGTGAAATAAAGGAATTAACTGCAACAAGAAGTCAATAGGTCTGAGGAGTTCTATTGATGGTTTGCCTTTTAGTTTTAGGGTGTCATCAAAGTTGATGGAAGCTGGGTTTTTTTCATTCAATGACTCTGTGCTCCACTTGATCTTCTCTCTCTTTTGTTATTCCTTTGGTAATTAGGGAATCTTGCTTCCCTTTTGAAACTTCAGATAATTTAGATCGTGTTTGAAAATTCAGGGGATTAGTGTATTTTCCCTAAACCTTGGGGGTTTATATGGAATGTTCCCCGGCTTTCGTTGTCTTTTATTGAGGTCCTTTGCTTACATGCCTTTTACAGCCTTTTTTAGTTAGCATCATACTTTTGGGTTTTTTGCAGGAAATTCTATCGAAGTACTTCCTGCCTCAATTTGCAATCTTATTCACCTAAAGTCACTCTGCTTGAACAACAATAACCTGAAACAGGTGAGCAGCTTACATTTTGCCTGTTAGAATCGAGGATGTATATTTGCTTTCTTTCTTGTTATGGTTATTAGCATGGGGTCTGATTTTTTTTGCTGGCATTTATCTGATCAGAGTGATATTTTCTTGAATTTTTTTGAAGTTGCTTTCGGTATCCTTTCTTTCTCTCTCTCTCTCTCTCTCTCTCACACACACACACACACACACACACGCGCGCACGCACAAATGGATTTCAAGTCAACAGCCTTTAACCATCTCCAGAATAGTTGTATTTAGATCAATGATTTCCATTTGCTACTCTACCCAAAGTTCATAAGCTTCTACTTTCAGGGGCCATTGCTTGGTGCGCAATGGTCAAATGCTCAGGCTACCAGGCATGAGAACATGGTTCAAGTATCAGAGCAGTCATGATAATGAAAGAATGCAAATCTTTCAAGTATGAGACCATGGTTCAAGTATCATAATAAGTGAGAATTAATATTCTGGCTTTTCCCTATGGGCAGATACCTCCAAATTTATTGAAAGGGTGCAAATCTCTGCAGAACATTTCCCTGCATGGGAATCCCATCTCTATGGATCAATTTCAACAGGTGAATTGTAGTTTGATTGTGTACTGCTTTATGCTCCTTTTAAATTTTCAGCATAATTGTTAAAATCATGCTTACCTCTGTCCTAGTAGAACTTCATCTAGATTTACCTTCAGATGGAAGGATTCCAAGAGTTTGAAGCTCGGAGAAAAAAGAAATTTGACAAGCAAATAGATTCAAATGTGATGATCAGTTCTAAAGGCCTTGATGAGGGGGTTGATCTATGAGATTTCTGCAATGGCAGGGTATTATTTTGACAATGCCTGTCTCTGTAAGTTGTCTGGACTGCATTCTTTGTTAAGTTTCAGTTTCAAATGTTAACATTCAGCTGTCACTGTGTGTATAGCTTTATTCGTATATTTTATCCCCCGTTTTAGAAGTTTTTGGTAGGATTTAATCTCTGCATTCATAATATCAAATCGGGTCTTAAGAATGATAAATACATATTTGTTTTCTGATCAGTATACTTGTTTATAAAATACTCTAATATAAATTCTGTCATACTTGGCTGAAATGTTTGTTTTTTATCAGTGACTTGACTGAAACTACATCTTATGTATCCTGCTCATGTCCTACTTATGTTCAACTATTGTGGTTCTAATCTTAATCATCTGATCAGTCATCAGTGTGTGATTAGTTACCTTAGTGTAGTCTTGTCATCTATCTATATGCAGTTTGAAAACATTAGATATCAGGAACAAGTATGTAAGGAATGAGTCAACGGCCAAAGTAAAAGTCTGACTACTGTTCTATTGTTTAAGGAGCAATACATGTATGTGTTTATTCGCCGACTACCTTGTTGGTCTGGACTCTGGAGTGAGCAATAGAGTAAGGGATAATAAAGATAGGTATGCGATTGTGGATATATAGTTATTTCTACTTGCACATGGTACACACAACATCTGGATGATGAAACCTGGTGTGCAATGCGGAAAACGACATCTCGTGGGCAGGATACCAGAAGTATATCTTTATAACAAATTGGCAATATTGATTTGACATATATTCTGATATGTTTCGTAGCTACATAATTTCAGAAAGATTTTTGTTGGATGGACAGAAAGCAGATTCACTCCTCTGCATAAGATTTTTGTTTGTAATTTCTTTTTCCTTTTTCTTTGGTACCAGGTATATAGTGCCACTTCTGGGTCTATTTTAAGTTGGTAATCTCAAGTTGACTGGCAGGATGACATGGATTGAGGCTTTTCGAATGCTAGGAAAAGATATTGATTTTGAACCCGATGAATTTCTTTCATCCTTTGTGAAGTTTGGAATGAGATCAGTTTGGCATCCATTTGTTCTCTGTCATTTATATAAAGTACCAAGTCCATAGGTAGTTCTCACATAGTAAATGGTGGCTCTTTTGCATTGTATATGAATCAATCAATGATCGCTTGCATTATTGATATAATTTTCTCATTTCCATCGTTTAATATGACAGTTTACTTATTGCTACATGTCTTCATTGTATGAATGTGTATGTAGGGGTGCAACTTGGGTTGGGCACCCGAGTCCAACCCGAAAAAATTAAGGCTTGGGCAAAGGTTTTTAATACTTGAGTTGGGCTTGAGTCAAAAAATTTTAACCTGATTTCAATTTGGGTTGGACTCGGTTAAGAACTTGTGAACCCGAGTTCAACTCGAACCTGATTAATTTTAAAAAAAAATTATATATATATAAAGCATTAGTACTGATTTTTCATTTTGTTCTATCGTTCTCTGTTTCTCGTTTTCTTTGCCTCTCTCGTTCTCCCAGCCTTTTTTATTAAAAACTTGGTTAAAGTTATTGGTTGTTAATTTAGGTGAATATTATGTAATATATGTATTAAGTTGTGAATAACAAATCTATTTTGGGCTCTATCTGAATTGAATCCGTAAAGTAACCTGAAACCAGTTCGAAATCATCAACCCGAATTCAACCCAAGTTCGCCCGGATTAAACTCGGACAATGCTAGGATTGAGTTCCTTAACCCGAGATAAGGTTAGGGTTGAAGATTATATACCTAAGATTGAGTTAGGGTTGATTGTTCAATCCGCTCGAGTTGCACCCTATGTGTATGGTTGAATATAAGCAATTTTAAGCACTTAATCTCAAATGCTGGGTTTATGTATGGTGAATCTATGTTTGGCAAGACCAAGCAAGCCCTTAATGTTTGATTTAATGTGCACAATGTTGTACCCGTAATATGACGGTCTTGAGTGACTATTTCTTCATGAAGATAAATATTCAACACATTAGAAGGGTTCATAAGGTTTATAAAATTACCAAAAGGTGCATAAGTTTTCAAGTGTAAGGGATTCATCAAATTAGAATGGTTCATGGAAGAAAGGATAGAGTTATTGAAAAAGTTTTTATTTTTTTGAAGGCTCTAAATTTGTTAACTTTTTTTTTTTTGGAGAGGGAATCGAACTTTTGACCATAAAGTCGTCACAAGACAAGGAAAATGATTAGATTAAACACTCTAAATTTTTTAATTTATTTAAGACAAAGAATGGTGAAAAAATTTATCTAAGTCATTATCAAATCGAAGAATGAGAATTATGTCAATCAGACTTTCATCTTCAATAAATTCACCAAAGTCATCATCAAATTGAAGATTGAGAATCACGTCAAAATGACTCTCGTTTTCATCAAATTAACTAAAGTCATCACCAAATTAAAAATCAAGAATCACATCGATCAAGCCCCCATTTTCACCAAATTCACCAAAGCATTACTAAATTGAAGATCGAGAATTATGTAAATCAAGCCCTCCTCATCTTCACCAAATTTATTAAAGTCAACACCAAATCGAAGATTGTGAAACACACTAATCAAGCTCTTGTTTTCATCAAATTTATCAAAGTCACCAACAAATCAAAGATAAAAAAACACGTCATTCTCGTCATCATCAAATTCATTGAGAATCCGAGGATTGTGCACGTGATAAGAACGCTAAGGAGAGTCAACACTACTTTAAAGTCTAACAAATCAAACAATTGTAATTTGACCTAATTTTGTGGTACTTTTACATGTGAAATTTGTCGTGATATTAATATTATGTGTTAAATGACAATAGTATACTAGATCGGGATTAATGAGAAATTAATATCAAATTACAATAACCCAATTTAAATTTGATATTATATTATCACTAGATTAAATTAATCCAATTCAATCTCTTAATACCTAAACTAGCATGTCTCATGCTACATTTGGTACGTGATAATGTTGCTATTTTTTTTGGTCAAAAACACAAAGAACACGCATAAATCCACACGAGTTAAAGCCTAAACACACTTGAATGAGAAATACCCACAAGCCTACACCATCGAAGTAATTGCTAATCGGAGAGAAGGAGAGCATGAATGAACTGAGATGAACATGAGAATGAAATAAACTTATAAATGTGGTAAAATGTTTATTACCGTTATAATGTTTAGCGATTAGTTGGGATTAAGGGTTAGAATAAAATTTACGTTCCATTCCAAGTTATGAATAAAAAATTTTCTTTTGATAAAAAAAAAAATTGTCAAATAATTTCTTGGAAGACAAAGAAAGCAACATCATGTTTGAGTGCTTCGATGATGAAGATGCAGAAGACACTCTCTCTCCACAACACACTCCCATTACACGACTACGGAAAAGAATTTTTGATAAAGACAACGAGTATCGGAAGCGAGCCTATTTGACTTTGACGAGATCGGCTTCTTCATTAAGCCTCAAAGTTATCGGTTCATCGGCGATGAAAATACAATTCATTTTTTGACCAAGAACTGATCAAACTCCATCCGATACTCGAGTTCCGATGGGTACCCTTCCAATTGTTCGACTTTATTACAGAAAGTGAATATAACGTATCTGACATCGATGTCAGCGAAGTCAAAGCGTCGAATATTCTTGATTGGTCCGCTGAAGTTTAAGCTGGAGATGGAACATAGGGCTATTAAAGAGAGGCAGGGCCGCCATGTCCCGACGCCGATGTTTTCGGCCTACTGGTGTTGGAGCAAGAGGGAAAAGTCAATGGGGGATGGTAAGGTCTTGACAGGGAAATGTCGGGCCTCTACAGAGATGGAGACTCAGATATGAGAGAGAGCATCTTCGTGTGTGTGTGTGCGCGCGCGAGAGAGAGCGAGAGATGTGTGTGTGTGTGATATGAAGCGATCCGATTATTTTTCAGATGGATTGGGCGCATTTGGTAATGCCCCTAAAGCTATGATTTGTTGGGATAGATACCTCTTTGAAATGTGAATGAACTTTAAATTTTATAAATTAAATATTAAAATAGGCATTATCATGAAATCCTCATTTAATTTCTAAGACTTAATACCATGTAGAAAACATAGCGTCACTGTATTATGATTGGATTACAAAATTTCATACTTGGGGCATGTTTGTTTTGAGGATTGTTATGGATGGTATTGAGAAATGTATTCTTTATATTTTTAATACCTATAAAAATTAGTACTAGTAATAGAAAATATTTTAATCTTTTTTCTTGTTTGTTAGTTCAATAGGTATTATAGTGTTTGTTCAAAAAAAAAAAAAAACAGGTATTATAGTGCGTCTAACAAATAACTATTTATTCTATCACATATTGTATAACAAATATACAATTTTATCATTTACATCATCTATTCCAGATGTATGTACAAAAAAAACTTGTAAAAAAAAATTAAAAAAAAAATCGGTGACATCATACGCTTACACATAATATAAGAAGAAAATTCAAAATCAGAATTTTTTTTAAAAAATTAATAAAAAAAACAAGTCACATCATTTTAAACTTGAATTTGGATTAATAATTAGTTAGTTTTATCTTTTTTCCCACCTTCGGAAGAATAAAACATAGACATTTCCCCCTATCGTTAGTATTTTTGAAAGGTAACTATCTCAGTTTCATATAGAAATTTAGGGTTAATCTCATTTTGCACCCCGAAAGATCGTTGAAATCTTAATTTGTACCCCCAAAGATAAAAAATTTTAATTTGTACCCTCAAAAATAGAAATCTATATCAATGTGTACCTAAAATTAAATTGATAAATTATACCTAGATCCCCTCATGTTTGTCACTTAATCATTTGAACCCCTTCACATTTAGAATATTACCCCTACATCTCATGACGTTTGTACATGTGTAAACATAACCACTTTTCGTTGATATCTGTTAATATAATCGTTGAAAAATATGATTTTATCCTAATAAAAAATTATAATTTCATATTACCCTTTATTTTGTGGATTCGATATACTTTAAAGTTCAAAATTAAGCTTACAATTTGAATGTCTAATAAAACATAAATATTTATATAAAGGAAAATATGAAAAATATTATATAAATATCTACATTTTATTAGACATTCAAATAATAAGCTTGATTTTGAACTTTAGAGTATATTGGACCCATAAAATAAGGGTAATATAAAATTATAATTTTTTATTAGGATAAAATTATATTTTTTAACGATTATATTAACAGATATCAATGAAAATGAGTTATGCACAAATGTCATGAGATGTAGGAGTAATATTCTAAATGTAAAGAAGTCCAAATGATTAAGTGACAAGTATGAGGAGATCTAAGTATAATTTATCAATTTAGTTTTAGGTGCATAATGATACAAATTTCTATCTTTGAGAGTGTAAATTGAGATTTTTTATTTTTGGGGTGCACATTGATATAAATTTCTATCTTTGAGGGTGTAAATTGAGATTTTTAATTTTTGGGGGTGTACATTGATACAAATTTCTATTTTTGAGGGTGTAAATTGAGATTTTTGCTCTTTGAGGGTGCAAATTGAGATTCGAACGATCTTTTGGGTTATAAAATGAGATTAACCCAGAAATTTATATAGAATTTTTGAAAAATATTTTTAAAAAAATAATAAAATTTAAAAATAAAAAACCGTTGGTGGCTAAAATCCCATACTAACATTAAAGGCTGAAGGATAATTCAGTTATTAATCTCCTTAATACCATTGGTGGTCAAAATCCAAAAAATAATACCACCTTCGAGGTGGTATTATATAAGCCCATGTACATAGGTTTTGGTGCATTATAATTAGCGGGTCGGTATTACGATCCAAAAAATAATAACACACGAAAAAATAAAAACAAATAAGATATTATTAGGCCCTACGTACTATTTTTTTTCTAATTCCACCTCTTTATACCACCATAATCCTTCGAGGTGGTGTTTGGATCAAAAGATTTGGGGGGGATTACAGGGGGGGGATTGGATTAAAATTGTGAATGGAGTCCACTTATCCCACCTCTCTCTCTCTTTCTCCATGCTAACCCATCTCTTGTTACCGTGGTATTTCGAACTCTCCATGAAAGTTGCAGATCTGTCTGATGGACGATCTGTTGACCTACCACTGTTGACCAGATCTGTCCATGGAAGTAGCAGATCTGTCCATGGAAGTTGCAGATCTGCTGATGGACGATGTATACTACCTCCAAGGAAGACCCATTTGTTCTTTCTCCCTCTTTCTCTCTCTGAAGCCTTAGTCGAGTGCCTCTCTGTCTATCCACCGCTAACCCATATAGAGATAGAGATAGGGTTGGTAATTGTTAAATTAAAATCAGATTTGAGTTATTAATTAATGAGAGTATTTGGGGTATAACAAAAATATTTGGGCTATACAAAATAGATTTGTTAAATAAAATCTGGAAATTTGAGAGGATTTGGGTTATTAATTCAGCCAATAATAATAAAATGCCCTAAATTTAAATTTGTAGAAAATAAATTGCATTTGCTTATGAAACACATAAAATACCACACATTTGTTTGAATTGACCTTTGGGTCATTGAAAAAATTTAATATGGTTCAGATTAATTTGACAACTTATTAAAAAAATAATTACGTTTTTTTTATACACACAACTTATGTTTTTCTATAAAGAAACAAATATAGATGTAAAATCCGAGCATCCATGTGTACAAAAAAAAAAATATATGAAAATATTTTTTTTATAGTGCATGTTTTAATAGGTTTATAATTATATAAAAAAAATGAAATTGAATTATTTACGAAAATAACATTGCATGACATTTCTTCCCAAGTTGCTACCTGGCAGCATAAGAGGAGTTCTCCTTAGTCTTCTCTAAGCTTCCAAAGTGATTGAGGAGTTGCTTAAGAGTTCAACAAGTCTCTGGATAAGGGAGAACCGCCAAGAGAGGAGAGAGGGAGAAGAGAGAAACTAGAGAGAGAAAATTAAATTTTGAATTTTGAATTTGTGGAAGAAACTACTTTGAACAATTAAAGGCATGCTACTAGACTAATTTGAGGGTTATCATGTTTTAAATTTTCGGGTTCTAGGTTTTTATGAAATGGATTTTGAGTTTGAGGTCATTTTGGTTAACTTGGTTGGTATGACTATGTTATGGGGAGGTAGAGGAGTATTTTGGTGGTTATTTCAAGGTTTGCCATGGTTGGAGGTAATGGGGTGGTGGTGATGAAGTTTCGGCCATGGTGAATTTTTGATCTCTTGGTTTTGGGGGTTGAGCTTTAGAGGGAAGGTTGTCCCTAGCTAAAATGGACCTTAGGAATCCATTGGTGATCTTAGAAATGGATTTAGAAGTTGTTAAGATGGTTAAAATGTAAGTTGCAGGTTTGACCATAAACTAGAAACCTTATTTTTGGATTACTTTGACAAGTTTTTCTTATGGGTTTAAGCTTAATTCGAAGCTTGAGAATTATGGGGTTTGTTAAAGTGATGTGTGGTGAGTGTTTAGGATCAAAAATTAGGTGAAAATGTGTATTGAATAGGGAGAAATAAGGGTGAGAAGTAAGGAGGTTAAGGTTGATGAGAACAACCTAGAGTTTTGGTCAAAGTGACCTAGGAAGAAGATGGAGGAGGAGGTACACCAGTGCACTCCGAAGGTGTGTGAAGGCGTTTTTGACCTTCAATTGGTGCCAAAAGTTCCGTAACGTCTGTACGGAGGTCCCGGTAAAATTTTAGGTCGATCCGACGGTCAGATCAAAATGAGGATTAAAATGACTGTTTTGACCTCCGGGGCCAATTTGACCCAGTTTTTAGGTGATTTTTGAAAAATAAATTTTACATTCATTCCTATGTAGGTTATTTGATTATGTGTATGAAATTCATTGAAAAATAACATCATTTTATTTTTGGCTATTTCGGATCGAAAAGCAGCGTAGAATAGAATTTCTCAATTTCAGATCAATCGAAGTTTTTCAAATTTATTTTGAGTCATGTATTACATTAGTTATGAATTATTAACATATTTTAAAACTTATGATGGATTATTTTGAATTTGGATTGGAAATCAGGGATCTAGATTAGGGTTTTGAGTGCAGTAACGCACAGTGATCCAAAACGATGCAATTGTGGTGAATAGAAAACGTTAAGAAATACATTCCGATGCATTGATTTTCTTTAGTTAAGCTATTTTTGATTCGATACTTATTTGCATTATGTGTTAACTGTTAGGATTAGAGGCTACTACCTCAGTTACACATAGGAATCGACCGTAAATAAATGAAGGGTATCTGTCGGCAATAAAAGTGAAGTCTACTACTTCATAAAACTTAAAAATAAAAGTATATGATATACCGAGTTTATTCTCTTATATGTGAGAAATTAATTTTGCTGAATTGATTTGAGTTGAGTTGCTTAAGCTATGAATCAAATATGTTTTGTTGAGAAGCTTGTGATTTGTTGAAAAACTTGTAATTTGAATAGTATCCACTGTGCTAGAGTTGTTGATAGCTTGACATGTCTTACATGTTATTGATTTAGACACTGCGCAGTTGTCATGAGATAGCTTGACATTATTTAAATATTGTAGATAGCTTGACATTGCTTAAATGTTGTTGATAGCCCGACATTGCTTAAATATTGTTGTTGACTCATAGCACATGTTGACTATTTATTATATTGTTATATTGATAGAGATTATGAGATTTTAAAGTGAGTAGAAAATACTTTGATTTTGACGTTCTCCTCAGATTGTGAACATATTTTGGTGAAATGATATTTGATCCATATTTTTAATATTTTAATTTATTATGATACGCAGTATACTCAAGAAAATATTTAGTTTCAGGAATCTAAAACTTAG